AGGATGAGAGGAGGAGGGAACCGAGACCTATTCTCACATGAGGCCTCTGGGAGTTTCTGGAGCATGCTGTTAAAAAATGTATCATTAAGTTGATAATTCAATGCCTCCCCAAATCCAGAGTTGACCCACAATGAATAAACATTAAAATCTTTGGAGAAGGATCCTAACAAACCAAAAATAGGCAAAGGTTTGATTTTCTAGGCTTTTTTTATTGTTGACTTTTTCTTCATGAAGAATGTAAGCAAGATAACTTGCTTTGACTTGAAATAAGAATCTTCGTTGTGAATGGTTATTTGCACAAGCCTTGCAGAAAACTATTTCCCAACATCTCATCAGAACAGAAATTACCACAATGATATCTTCACTTAGCTCCTCTTAGCCTGACACCTCTTCCAGCAGAAAGAAAACATTGATTTATGGTTATTATAAATGGTATAAATGGTATAAATTTCTGGTTTGCCCTATGTATTGGCTGAGTATACTCCCTCATCTGAAAAAAATCCCTAAAAAGCTCACACTTTTTGTACAAGGCAGCTTTCAGCACGCAGAGGTTCATGCAGAGGAAAACTGAACAGAGCACCAACAGCATTTGCCACAATGGAGATCTAAATGCGTAAGTGATTAAAATGTGATTGAATAATTTGATTTTGATCTTTTGATTGCAAGGAAAGAAGGCACACTTAAGCTAACCAAGAAAAGTTAAATTTATTGTAAAGTTACCAATAGGTTTCTGGGCTTACAAGTAGAAAAACCAAAGTAACGTCAGGTCTGAAAGAAATTGTAACAAGCCCTTAAGAAATAATGCAGCTACTTTGTCTTTCAAGGGCCAAAGAAATTGTAACAAGCCCTTAAGAAATAATGCAGCTACTTTGTCTTTCAAGGGCCAAGCATTGTATCCATAGATGCCTGGGTCTGTTTTCATCACAGTTATCTGTAATTCTAAAATCCTTGCAGTCTGTAATTTCATCTTCCTCTGGCTCAGGGAAATTATTTTTTCAATTGTGGTTTTTCTTCCATTTGTGCTTTTTCCTCCTTCTGGGATTCCTATTATTCACAAGTTGGGACTTCTGGATTTACCCTCCAATTCTCTTATCCTAATACAAGATTCATTAAACCTGCACCTTTCCAGGTTCTCCTATCTACCTTTTCCAAAGTATTAGTAATATGTTACTTATAGTCGGAAATACTACAGAATTTGAGTAAGGTCATCTTCCAGTAGTACTAAGTAAGCAAAACACTCTTAATTTACTATGATAATTGCATAATTAAAAGGACAAAGGAATACCAACAATAAGTAAATATGGAAATTACCAAAGGATGGGACAAACATAGTGAGTATAAAATTAATGTGCTAAATTACCCATATAAAGAAATTTCTTCTGAATTTCTTTTGGAACAGAATACTACCCCCACCACTTTTCAAATAATGCAAATTGTACAAAACATATTAATCAATATAATTAATCACAAAGTAAATACAGAATATTTTTATCTATGTGTCAGAAAAACTTAAAAGTGCCAGAGCCTAGAATCAGCTTTTTTTGTTGAGTTTCCCCCTACAGCTAAAGACTGGTGACTCTAGGAGAGAATGAGGGGAGATGAGAAAGAATGCTTTCTCCTCTGAGTGTTCATTCCTTAGAATTAAAGAGGCTCTTGTGTTAATAATTAAGCATTGTAGTCAAAAGCAAGTAGGAAAACACCTAAATTTTTCATTGGTAAACTTTTTTTAAATAGAAAGCTGCTAGAACATTTTAAATTCATTCATTGCATTGCTAAAGAACATCATTTCAGTGAATAGTAAATTTCATAAAATAATCAGGCACTTTACACAATGAGAACATCTGCAGTCACCCCAGGGGCAATGAAATTACGGGGCTATCCGTCCTTGTGCTTCAGGGCATGGCGTGATCACCAGCTGGAAGACAGGTATTTCCTAAAGGATTTCTATAATATCATCAATTACATTCAAATGTTTATTTCTCTTTAAATACAACTGATTGCAGGGCTGTAAGGTACATTACGGCCAAATAGTGCAATAGGAAGGTAAAATCTTCAAAGGTTTATAAAAATATTTTAGAGGAATTCATTAAAGAAAATTAATAAAATTTCAGGAAAAGTAAGAACAGCATTTCTTCATTTGAGTGTATTTTTTTCACACATAGAGCCTGAGAAAGAGCAGAACTCAGAATTTGTTGAATGAATGAATGAATGAACCAACAAAGCAACAGACTTACGTGTACCTGAGTTCAAATCCCAGCCTCACCAATATTGACCTTGAGTACTTGGCTTATCCTGTTTACTCATCTTTAAAATGGGAATAAGTGTACCCACTTCATCTTGTTATTAAAGGACTGAACAAAGTAAGTGTGTAAATGAATAAATCCAGTGCGGTGAACAGAGTGAACACTCAACAAATAACAGTCATTTTAATAGCTTTCCTGGAATTGATTTAGCTAATTTTTGGCCAAATGGATCTAACGATTAAATCATCTCAATATATTTCATGATAGAGCACATATTTGCTCGTGTGGTGCCTATATTATAAATCTATATTCCACTAAGTCTCTGTGAAACCAATAGTATATTACACTATAGATGTTATCTAGAGCTATCCCTTTATTCTGAACTAAGCATACCTTTTCTGCTGATAAGCAGACCTTAGATGGTGTCTTAGATAGAGCTCTCAGACAGTTTGTTTGGGCTGCAATAACAAAATACCATAGACTTAGTAGCTCATAAACAACAGAATTTTATTTCTCACATTTCTGGAAGCTGGAAAATACAAGATCGAGGTGCCAGCAGATTTGGTATCTGGTAAGGGGCTGCTTCCTGGTACCGTGCAAGGGAGCAAGGGAGCTTTCCTCTACCACTCTTAGGAGAGCACTAATCCCATTCATGAAGGCTCTGTCCTCCGGACCTAATCCCCTCCCAAAGGCCCCACCTACCTCCTAATACTATCATCTTGGGGGTTAGGATTTCAACTAATGAATTTTGGAGAGACATAAATATTCAACCTATAGCAGATGGTGTACTGTGATGAGTAAAGTTCAAACTCATAAAAAGGGTAGCAACTGCTCACCTTGAAATGTCCAAAGCCCTGACACAAGGCTATGCGACTTTTGACCGAATGCATACAAACGTCATGGAAAGGATTGTAAATTATGAATGGTACTAAAAGCTTAAGTTTCTTAACAATTACCTACTTGTTATTAGCAATTCTCTTGGGACCTCTAAATTAGATGTACCCTGCAGATACAGATGTTCCAGACCCAAATGAAGAAATTCTATGTAAACAGAGTATACATAACTATGAATTCTCTGGACCTATTTAAAAGCCAAGTTAAAAATAAATTGTATAGCATTTGTGATTAGTGTAACTTTGAATAACAATGATATTCCCTCCCACCCACCCCCCCTTGATCAAGTCCTGTTTTCATTGAAGAAAGTGTTGGAAAAATAACCTAGTTTATTGGACTATTTCTCCAAGGTCAGGACTATAAAAACACTTTTTTTTTTTTCTGGGCAGTAAAGTGGTTATAAATTATAAATGTAGCTGCATATAATTAAATTATCTCTTTTTTGGAAAATGGAAAATTGGAGTATTTCTTAGAATTTAGAAAAAGTTGTCATTCATTTCATGAATTATTCAACAAAAGACAGCCATGCATTATTTCAGATAAGTTACTACCTCAAAATGTCACTATGTCACTTCACTCAAAGATTTTTGGGGGCGGGGGGTCCTTTATTATCAACTCAACAGTTCTGCAGGCAAGGGGCAGGACCAGATATCTCAAGCAAAGTTTGGAGAGAAGAAGGGTGCCTAATATTGAGCACTAACACTAGAACCCCCTTCATCCCCTTCCCATCACCATCACTTAAGGAAACAGAAAAAACCCACCATTCTGAAACTGGAGTAAATGCTCAGGCCACGTGACATTGAATAACGCTGATTGGAATCAAATATTGAGACTCCACAGCGACAGTGATTTATCTGGATCTCGTTACTGAACTATGGGCCCTCAGAAATGAGCACACAACTCCCACCTCGACTGAGCCAAAGGTCCTGCTGGCCTTGTGAAAGCTTGGCCAGGTGCTGAGAGCGGAGGGAGAACAGGGCTTTGGGAGGCAGGGACAGTGAAGAGACAGAGGCTCGTTCAAACCATACCTTAAGAAGCCTCTGTGCCCAGCCTGAACTTAAAGAGGGAAATGAAGGGGCAGAGATTTGAACTAATATAATGAGCCTTTATATCGGCCACCTAGTTTAAATCTCTAGGAAGTCGATATTATTAAGACACCAGGGACTGAAGATTAAAGACTGCAAGAGACTTGCAGACTCCCTCCCGGCGCCGTCGGACTGCCGGGATGGGGAAGCGCCTGGGGCGGCTTCCGCGGGTTCACGTTGGGGACAAAAGCCTGGCTGCCATAGAGAAATCTAGGCCTGAGTGAGGGCCTGCCAAGGCTGCCAGCAGCGGAAGAGGGCGGAGGGGTGGGGGCTGACGGGGGTATCTGCTGTGGTCGGCGCGGAGATCGTAGCTGGAAGCCCAACGCAGATTGTTGGCGAGAAGCACCAGCCCCCTTCGCCAGCCCACTCGTTGCGGGGAAGGGTTTCTCACGCCCCCTGCTCCAGGATGACTGCACCAGATCCGGGTCGGAAGAAAGCGGGGCGAGGATGACTCATACCGCCTAATTCCTCCTTCCGAGTCCCCTCGCCAACGCACGCCAGCCCCCTCCCGAGATCAAGCAGCCGGGAGCAAAGACTTCCCTCGTCCTCAGAGTCCTCCACCAAACCCCCTAAGGCTTGCAGAGAGAGGAGAAAGACGGGGCGTTCTGCCAATAAGAGCTTCGCTTTCTCGTCTGCCGCCCAATAGGCTACTGTTTACAGGCGGGGGCGGGGCTAGGAGGGCAGGAGGGGGCGGTCCCGGACAGGCGCGCGGCGCCACGACGCTGTTGCTCACAGAAAGAGCGCCTCACTCACCCGGAGTCTGCGTCTAGGCGAAGCGGGAAGGCACTGCCGGGACTCCCGCCGCCGCCGCCGCTGGCCAAGGTGCTGGACAAAACAGACGGGTCAGCCACTTCGCCAGCTCAGCCACCCGTTGCAGCCGGGCTGTCTCGCTTCCATACGGGTCCCCATGGAAGAGATGGAAGAAGAGTTAAAATGCCCCGTGTGCGGCTCCTTCTATCGGGAGCCCATCATCCTGCCCTGCTCTCACAATTTATGTCAGGCGTGCGCCCGCAACATCTTGGTGCAAACCCCGGAGTCTGAGTCCCCCCAGAGCCGTCGGGCCTCGGGCTCCGGGGTCTCTGACTATGACTACCTGGATCTGGACAAGATGAGCCTGTACAGCGAAGCAGACAGTGGCTATGGCTCCTACGGGGGGTTTGCCAGCGCCCCCACTACTCCGTGCCAGAAGTCCCCCAATGGCGTCCGCGTGTTTCCCCCAGCTATGCCGCCACCGGCCACCCACTTGTCACCGGCCTTGGCCCCGGTGCCCCGTAACTCCTGTATCACCTGTCCCCAGTGCCACCGTAGCCTCATCCTGGATGACCGGGGTCTCCGTGGATTCCCCAAGAACCGAGTCCTGGAAGGGGTAATTGACCGCTACCAGCAGAGCAAAGCCGCGGCCCTCAAGTGCCAGCTCTGCGAGAAGGCGCCCAAGGAGGCCACCGTCATGTGCGAACAGTGCGATGTCTTCTACTGCGATCCATGCCGTCTTCGCTGCCACCCACCCCGGGGTCCCCTAGCCAAGCACCGCCTGGTGCCCCCGGCCCAGGGCCGTGTGAGCCGGAGGCTGAGCCCGCGCAAGGTCTCCACTTGCACAGACCACGAGCTGGAGAACCACAGCATGTACTGCGTGCAGTGCAAGATGCCCGTGTGCTACCAGTGCTTGGAAGAGGGCAAACACTCCAGCCATGAAGTCAAGGCTCTGGGGGCCATGTGGAAACTACACAAGGTGAGTCCTTAGAAAACCCAACCCTAACTCCCGAAGCCTCCGATCCTCGGGTTTGGCAGCACAGTCCTCTTTTTGCGCACAGTGCATCCTAGCGGGGGCGCAATGCAGGTGCCTACAATATTTGCTTCCCCTGTCTGGTGCATTGCAGGAAGCGCAGGGATCTCTTAAACGGTGCACAGGGGAGTTGAGTATCCCCAGAGAGCTGTTGTGGGGATGTCTTAGACCGGGTCTCCCTGGGCGCGCTATAATCCAGGAGCGGGGCGCCCCCGCTACGCTGCGGGTATGCAGCATGCGGCTGTGGCCAGAATGCGGGAAAGCGCTTTGTAACTGGGCAGAGCAGCACCAGTGCCGAGGACCCCCAGGGCCCCTCCAAGGCAGCACCAGACTGTGGGGCTCTGGCCGCGGTCCCCGGGGAGGAGGTTGGGGCTCTTGGGTTGCGTGGACCGCCAAGGGCTGGAGCTGTTGGAAAGGCAGGCGCTGTGAGTCACGGTGTGGGCGGGAGAAACGCCGCGGGCGGAATACTGATGAGTCGACGCTGGCCCAGACCCCGCGAACCCTCCGGGGGGGCTGCAGATCCGGCTGCTTTTGCGCTCAGGAGGCAGAGGAGTAGGGTGGGGAAATTCTATCGTCGCCTTGGCCAACTCGGCTTGCAGGCTTAGATTCCGACCCTTCGCAGAGGACCTGTGGCTGGAGGAGCAGGACCTGAGGTATCTGTGCAGTTAAGGCCTGAAGGCCAGGCAAGCGTGTGTCCCAGGTTAACCCCGACCTCCCAACACCCACACACCCATTTGTCTAGGATTCAGTCCTTTTCCTCTTTCAGCAGTTGTGGATGCAAACTTTGAGACACCTGTTACCAGATTTATCTTTGTGTTCTCTTTTGACGGCACGTCCACCAAAGCGAGCTTCGGTGTTAGGTCCTTCCACTCCGCTGCTCACAATCCTCCAGTTGCCCCCCGCGTTTCTCATACAGTTCCTAGAGTGGTTCACCAGGATCTACATGACGTGTTCCCCTTTGGCCTCATCAACTTCATTTCCTGCCACTCATTCCCTCTGCTCCAGCCACTATGTCTCTCTTGCTGTTCCTCACCAGGCACCTTCTGGCCCCAGTGCCTTTGCATTTGATGTTCCCTCAACCTAAAATGTTCTTCCCAAAAATGCTATATCCATTTTGGAGTGGCTCACTTTCTTCCCTCCTTCAGATCTTTGCTCAGATGTCACCTCTGCAGGGAGATCTTCCTGCCCCTAATGCTGCCACTCATCTCAGATACCCCTTAGTTTCCTCCCTACTTATGGTTCTCAGTAGTAGTTATCACTATCTGGATTGCTATGTATTTTAATTATGTTACTTTTGAATATCTATTGCTTCCTTTTCTCCTGCCCCCACTAGAAAATAAACTTCAAGAGTAAATAAGTCTTTATAATGTCCTCCACAGGGCTTAGAAGGAAGGGAACCATTCTTGAGGAGATGTGCATAAATTTGACTTCTACTTTTTAAGTAATCCACTTAGTCGGGGGGTGTAAAGAGCAGGGCAGATTGTTGTAGGGAAGGTTTCTTCACATCATTCAGTTGCAAGCCCAAGGATAAGGCAGGGCCTAGAGAGGCTGTTCAGTCCTCAGCTATGCCCCTATTCCGGGTTTCCCAGCATTCCTTGGGGGCTGGCCTTTGAGAGGGGTCATTGATATTTTATTTACAGAAAGAGTAAAAAGCAATCACCATTTTCACCAATCAGGGAGGGTTTCTCAACTCAATGTTAATTGAACACAATCCATATTTACAGTCATCTGTGTTCTCACATATAACCTATTAAACCATATTAGTCCTGGAGATCTAATTCAGAACAAATTTGAGTCCCATGAGGCACATGCCACTATTTTGAAAATGCTCCAATTTAAATGTTTTTAAATGACAATTTTGAAAGTTTTCAAAAATTTAACTCATGGACAGTTTTTATTTCCTTGTGTGATTTCACTCTTAAACTGCCAACTATGTTGAATTGCCTTACAACAGTATCCTTAGAACTAAGAAATTAATCACCCTGCCTGTAAGCTTAGAGCCATACACTAATTAGGATAGTCAAACCATAGTTTTTTTGCTGTGAACAGGAGCGTATACTTTATCCAATCAGACTAAAAGCAACCTGTAAATCTGTTTATCCCTGTGTAGATTTCAAATGTTAAACCATTTGTTTCATCAGTAATGGAAGCTGTGAGTAGAAACTGTGATGGGGATTGGGTTGAAATTTGGATGTCTGCTAAAAAAGGATAATGTAAAAGCCCTTGAGATTTGATATAAGTAGGCTAGGAAGGGAATGTTGGTTAATTTTTTTTAAAAAGATCATTTCTTCTCTAATCTTATGCAGATATTTTCCAAAATAGTAAGCAAATAAAATTTTGTTCAGTCAATATCAGTATTATCAAACTGCCAAGAAAAAATAAGGCAGAAGGATGACAGATTTTAACATTCACTCACCATCTGTTGATGAACAACAAACATTACTCCCCCACCTTATCTCTTTAATAAGGTAGATAATGTGTTAACATTTTATTTTTTCCCAACCCTCTGGAGGGGCTGCGGATCCGGCTGCTTTGCACTCAGGAGGCAGAGGAGTAGGGTGGGGAAATTCTATGGTCACCTTGGCCAACTCGGCTTGCAGGCTTAGATTCCGACCCTTCGCAGAGGACCTGTGGCTGGAGGAGCAGGACCTGAGGTTTCTGTGCAGTTAATTTTTCTCATACAGTCTATTTATATTCTAGTTAATGATATCTTTATCCCCACAAGAGCTCATGGATCATAATTTCTATGCCCTTTAAGATATAGCAGAGAAAAGAATTACACTAAGTAACTCTTTCAAAGTTGAACAGTTAATTATCTACACAGGTGATTACTAGATGTGAAAGTTTTCATTAATAGTCTACCATATTAATCAGTCATTTCTAGTGATAAAGAAACTCTTGTGAATAAATATTGTCCTTGGGCACTAAGTCATTATCTTACACACTCAAGACAAAATGACCAAAGTTTATTTTTAAGTGGTTTTAAAAACAACTAGTTAAAATTTATTAGTTGTCAATTGACCAAATTAAAATACTTTTAAGGTATATATGACCTTCAAAATCACCAAATTAAAATACTTTTCAGATATATATGACCTTCAAAAACCCATAAAAAATAATGCATGATATGGTTTTACAAAATAAATATCTGGTAACAGGTTTTATTTAGTATCAGCACTTGATATATATATTTATATATACATATATAAAAATCATATATATTATATTTAATATATATTATATATTTTATATATAAATATATTTAATATAATATATATAAATTATATATATATAATATCTAATTTAGGTTGGTATAAAGAACTACTACACAAAAAATGATTTTGTATAAATTGGAATCATTATTTATTACTTTGTAATTTTAGCAATTCACATTCCTAAATCTAACATTATTCTTGAATTCCTGATATCTTTTATCAATCATTGAATCAGTAATTTATCTTTGACCATTCTTTTGTGTTTGTGCTGTTAAGCAAGGATTTTTTTTTTCCTTTGTATCCTAATTACTGGCTATTCATTCTGAATCTTGTCTCAAATGTTATTTCTTACCTTGTTTTTTTTGATGCAGATTTGCAATTTAAACATTTTAAAATAAAGAGTGGTTATGCTTTGATTTTCAAAGTGTTTTGGAAAAAATATCTGCTTTGTAGTATGGTGACATCTCATCATATATTTATGTAGCAAAATTTGTTATTTAATGTAACTGAAATGATAATGTAACTATATAATCAGTTAACTATATATCAACAGTAAACACAATATAATCTAAGATGTTCCTGTGGTAAATGTATCGGATAGCACATGTTCATATTTTTTAATTTTTAAAAAGTTTACTTTTAGTATAATCAGAACATTCTGTGTACAATGTAAACATTCTTAGAGGCATTAAGGAGAATATTACAGAGAAATAAATTGTTCCTCTTTGTACCGAGACATAACAGAAAGAACTAAATGATTGGAGATCTGGGTTCCAGACTAGATGCTGCCACTTACTTGCTGGTAAATTTAAACAAGTTTTATTACCTCTGTGTGCTACCCAGAAGGATGTAAAGAGCTAAAACTATATTGTGGAGGTATTTTGAAATAATAATTTAAATGTTTATAACTTACTAATTTCAGTTTGACCAAAGAGAAAGTTTTTGCAGAAAACAGAAGTTATTGTCTCACTAGTCAAGAAATACTACATAGAAATCTCATCCCCCAGCTTGGAGTACTTTGCTTGCTTCTTTCAGAGCAGAGAGTGCAGCACAAAGGCTGCTGTGGATGGTGGCCTGAAAGAGTGAGCCACATCATTATAGGTCCAAACAGAATACTCAGTTGGATTAAGCTCAGGGAATAAGAACATTACACAAAGGTTTATTTATATATTAGACAAAAGTATTTCGTTTTTCAATAACAAAGCTAAAATGACAACTGGTATGACTCAGGTTTTTTTTCAGATATTGTTATTACTTTGAAGTATTAGAAATTGTTCTTTCTTTATATGCCAAGGAAAGATACTATTAATTGGAATTCAGGGTCAAATCACAGTTTGCATAAGTAAGAGAAAATCATTACAGCCATCTGTTACTAAGTAATAAGATAATGCACAAAAATTACCTTTACCATCAGTACAAGAAATTACACTTCTCTCATCTAAACATTTTTCAAACTGTCTGTATGCATATAACTTAACCTTGGTACAGAGGATAAAATTCATTACCAGATAAATGTTTAAGAACAGAATAGTTTTAAATAATATCGTTTTTATCAGGGATTGTAGGCTGTAAGTCCACTTCGGTGATCTCAGAGGAATTCACGGGAAATGAAACAAAATCAACTCACAAGGAGAATGGAACTGGAAAGCTAGAAACTAAGTTCACTGTCTGTATTCGTCAGTTTGGAATAAGCTATGCTGTAGTAACAATTTCCAAATCTCAATGAATTAC